GCTTGTTCACGCCACAGTGGGTAATTTGAAGGATAAGGAAGTCATGATTGTAGAGGTTATGTGGTAGTGTTCAGACTGGCTCTGTGATACCAAGAAGAAAATATAGAAAGAGATGAATAATGTTTTTGTATTGAAAACGTGAACACTACATTACAATGGAGGTAAAGGAAATATATGTAGAGAGAGTGCAACGGATATAAATAAATACAGATTGACAAATCCCTAAATATAGGTTTGTTTCCATATTTAGTTGAGATAAAAAAAGGCTACTTTGCTGAATTGATTTGTGACAGCACAACTCCTTTAATTCTCCAATATCTCTCCTTCAGTTGAGCCATAATTAATGGAATTCTCTTTGCAACAATTTTGTGTCTCATGATTATCATAATTTCTATCCAAGGACATCTCAATTCTGTTAATAGGTTGGATGTGAAATGAAACTGTCATGTGAAGACATTTAGCAGAAAATATAACAGTACGTTGTGCTGTTTGCCAACTTAAAAAACAAAATCTATTTCCTAGTGTTGAATGACTAAATTTTGCAGTTTTGATTCGAAGGTTTTGTTGTTTTAACTTGAATATTTGGTTGGATGATATGAACATTATGTTTTCTTTTACTAAATGTTTAGTTTGAGTATTTTGAAGTTGAAAGTAATGAGATTACATCCTTCTGCACTTTGAAGTTTTCAGGTCTGTGGGTTTTAATTATATCACTATCTTCTATATGATCAGCAATTGTCATGTTTTGGTAGCCAGTAGCTAAATAATTTGATTTTGCCAGGCTTAGGAAGGTAGATAGAATTTTAAAGGTGGATGGATTTCTCTATATATATTCTTATGTGCTTTCTTAAGTGGAGGAAGTGAAAAGGAAAACATGCTCATATATTTTGATGTTGTTGTGGTTATAAATTTATTAAGCAGTATATAAATTTATTTCTAGCTATGATACAAACTATCATGTTATGGTCTCTCAATTCTCATATTGAGTGGCTTCTAAATTAAAGCCATGTATGTTTATGAGAAGAAAGCATATGCTCTATCTGGTAACATCATCTCCAGGTGCATCAAAGCCAAAACCACCAAAATCTCTGATCAATTAAACACACTCTAGCATGAACAATATTGTTTTAAACTGAAAAATAAAAGAAATCTAAATCTTTTGTTGCTTAATGATGCCTACTAGAAGTTAGAACTGTTACGAAGAAAAGGGTAAATCACAGAGGTATGGCTTTTTCAGACCCTGGATACCATTGGAACTTAAATTTGGCACTGAAAAATTAAACGGATAGGAACACACTAAACAGTGACAATACTATGAATATAACGCAATATAGAATTTATTTCTGAAAAATTGGCAACAAAAAGAAGGTAAAGAAACACCTCTATGACTATATAGAAACTGATCATTCAAATTTGTAGTATACAAATCAGAGGGCTAATCTATTATGTAGCTGTATTCATGTCATCTCTCTTATCCTTGTCACAAGTAGAAACTGACTTACTTTAAAAACATTGGTAGAGAAACAAGAAAATTAAGAGATGTAATAATCAGAAAACATTATTCATAGATATAGGATGAAACAAAAATTTCTGTTGAAGTGTTCCAAACAATCACAGAAACTGTATTATTGCTGAAAACTGTTTTGTGTGTGTAGGTTTGTACTATTAACTACTAAGAAAATTAGAAAAAGTACGCACCTAAGGCCACAAAGCCAAAGCTATTCCGCAACAAGCTCCAGTTCAGGCAACACGCTCAAACCAAAATCCAAAATCTTTATATCTGCCAGTGAATAATGTAAAAGATTTTCAGGCTACATAACAAAAGAAAAACTGATGATAAGGATAACAGACAATTTTTCATATCTCACTAAATTAGGACTGAATATGAGGCTCAATAAATTTTGAGATTCTCTTTTTCTTTATATGAAAAATATATATTTGAGTTTTTCTATTTTGGATATACATGAGACATTTTTTTACAACAGAAAGAAGTGTTTGTGAAGGTGACAAATAACAAGAGACACAGTAATAATGGCTTATCAGAGCAAATAATGAGTTGCCATGGCTCTTCTTTTTAAAACATTTTTCATTTAATCAAGGAAGCTTCTAAAAAATATGCTTCCTGAAGTCCCTCACTCCAAAGTTCAAACATGTGAGTTTGCCCCAAAAGATGGACTACAATATAAGAAAGTATGCTGAATACCGAAGGCACTTTCTGAATCAAAGCAACACACAAAACAACATAAAAATTTGCCTCGAGCAAATCATACATGGACAGTACAGGGTCAATATGTTATGCGGAGTTCTCACACACACGTGATTTGATATTATTTTCTACTTCGAACCTAAATTTTCATTTCAGTTAGAAAATGCAATCACATGTTTGAGAAAAATATATCATTTTGAAAGAAATTATTCTCAACCTCTTTCATATATCAATCTACTTGATTCAAAAACGAGAAACTTACATCTATCTCAATTTCCATCTAAATATGGAGTTGATTCATACTCTATTTTCTGATAAATATTTACCATTAAAAAAAGGGAAAAAAAACAGAGTCTTTGTCTAAAAAAAATGTCTTGAAAAAGGGTAAATGTATAGAACCTTTCAACATGATAGTATTTTTTCAACTATCTAAATATCATGGTTCCTTACCTCAATAGAGTACAAATATGTAAATTTCATATTTTTAAATACTTTACCTATTATCGTTACTAAATAGTAGTCAAAAATATGTATCGTTTTTCATGATATTATGTATGGTTCATATATATTATGGAGAATTCGATAGATTCTATTGTGTCTTCCATAATGGAATCTGATAAGTGAGATATGCATTCGTCAAGTTTATTTTTGTTCATCATCCAAAAGGTTTCATACTATTAAAAATTTTGTGTTTATTTATAAATTCATTCATTTACTTATTTTAATGATGTAAGACTTTGTTTATATCACAATAATCATGATAGTTGATACAGAATGACAAGTATGCAGGCTGCACCTTAGTTGATACTGAGTGACAAGTATGCAGGCTGCACCTTCCATTCAACCATTCTTAGAAGACATGGTTTTAGTGTAACAACTTCCACTCAGTCATTTAATCTCTGACCTCTTAGCATAAAGGAAGAACAACATTGAATCAGTAGAGTAGATGTTGACTTCTTTGTATAAATTAAAATGATAAATACATAAAAAAAAAGCAATTTTTGGTGATTAGCATGTAAAATATTTCAACTTCACAGCATTTACCTGAGAAATCTCTAATGCAGTACGCCACCAGTACTTATATTTTTGGAGAGTAAGATGAGAACAGCTCTGTAAAGAAACCATCTTTTATATATATATATATAAGAAAAATGTTTTAAGTACAACTTATAGCCTAATAGATCATAAAACGGAGCATGTTTTACTCTTCAAAAAGTGATGGGGGAGCACTTTATACGTATATATCAAATTTTGTTAAAATTAAACAACAACTTGAAAGTAATCAAAGTGTTCATATTTTAGTATATTTTAAAATAAATATATTACATTAATTTTGTTTTATAAAAATGAATATCAAATCATCTTAGATTAATATAAAATTTTGCATATATGATTTAAGAGATATAAACTTTCAATTTAACGGTTGAATTTACAAAATTCACATTTAATATAAAGTTATTAAGCAGTGTAATACTTAGTAAAAGTTATATCAATGTTATTATAACTCAACTCATATATATATATATATATATATATATATATGACATTTTAAAGATAGGCAGTAAAAGAAGGGTGAGCAATGAGCATGTTGTCGTGAGATTAAAGTCTTGATGAGTGAGTGAGTGATGTATATTTGTTCACCCTTTCAGAAAAGAACATTGTGACACCACACAGTTTTCATTCGACACGCAAATATAGTCACTCACTCACTGAATCTCTTTGCATCAAATTTCTTGTGTTGGGTGAAGTTGAGGCCAATCTCTACTTTCACCAAAACACATGCGTCACTCTCCTACCTCCGCATACAATTCTTTTTTTTACTATTTTCTCTAACACTAGCATCCAAAACACTTATTTCACTATTTGTTTTAATTTTTATTTTTAATCAATTACATAAATTTTATTATATGTATCAGAACATATAATCAAAACCATGAAATTCGCAGGGAAATTCAATAAAACATCTACTCAACATCTTCCAACTCAACATGTTTATCAAAGCAAGTATTCACAATGTTGCTCGGATAAATTTCTTTAAAATATTTAATTTTTTTTATAAATTAAAATTAGCTTATATTCAAATTAAAGAATATGTTTTAAAAATTAATATTAAATAATTTCAACAAATTAATTTATCCACAGGTTAATTTTATTTTTGTTTATAGAAGTTTATCTAACTTTTTCATATTTTTTCTAAAAATATTTTTGATAAAGTTTATTCAAAAAATCCTAAAGATATGATAGGAGTTGGGATCACATATTTTATCATTGGAAGAGTTATTTCCTAACTTTTTTTTAATATATTATTTTTTTATTTATTTAAATAATTTGGGCCCCAAATTATTTACCTAAATAACCCACTTTTGGGGCCCAGGTAAGAAATCGGTTACTGGGGAACCGATTTCTCAAAGGGCTTTTTAAATTTTTTTTCAAAAGCCCTTTGAGAAATCGGTTACCCAGTAACCGATTTCTCTATAGGGCCTTTTTTTTTGTTTTTTGTTTTTTTTTTCCAGATTTTTATATTTCTTTTTTTGTTTTTCAATTTTTAATTTTTAGATTTAAAAAAAATTATATTATTTAAAAAAAATTTATTTAGTTAAGTTTTTAGAATAAGATTAAATAATGAAATAAATATTACAATTTTTTTTTAAAAATGACTATTTTTATATAAAATAATAGAAAACAAAGTACAACATTTGGAATGTTTCTCTCGTTAGTGTGTTGTAGTAGTAATTGAATCTTGGCTCAGTCATCCCATAAGGTGTGAAATGAGATTAGAAAAAAAATGAACAATTTAGTATTGTTGAAATATGGTCAAACAAATATCAGTAATTAATGATAAGAAGTACATACCCATATTGATGATTAATTTTTTTCGTTCTGTGTTCTTGAAATGCCTCATGAAGTTTTGGGCAATATGGTGAATACAGAACACATGCACTGAATTGTCGGGTGTCCAACCATTGCCTTGTCTAGCGTAGGCTGCTTTGATGGACTTGTTCCTGTCTGAAATTAAGCAAAGGCCATCTTGAGGGCAAACATGTCTTTTGAGATAATGTAGAAAGAAAAACCATGCATCTACTGTTTCACCCTCAATAATTGCAAAGGCAATTGGAAAGATTTTGTTGTTACCGTCTTGAGCCACGGCCACAAGGAGAGTTCCTTTGTATTTGCCATACAAGAATGTGCCATCAACTTGAACAATGGGCTTGCAGTATTTGAACCCATCGATACAAGGTTTAAGTGTCCAAAATGCTCTATGGATTTGAACATAATGATGAACCATCTCACCTTGTTGGTTGTATAGTGGCCTTGTTTGCTTCTCAACAACAAATTCATTAAGAAATCCACTCATGGCATTGAGCAACTTGGGTAAATCATGGTAAGATTGTTCCCAGTTGCCATGTAAGTCTTTAATTGCCTTTTGCTTTGCCATCCACACTTTGCGGTATGAGATTGTGTACCCTTCAGCACTTTTGATGTGTGCTATTATTGTTGGAATTGAAATAGATGGATCACTCTCCACCAAAGCAAGAATACTTTTGTTGATATATACATAGCCAATGTTAACATGATCTTGTGTGATAATAGGGGATGAAAAAGAATGTTCACCTAATACCTTACGAAGCTCCCATTTTTGGCTTGTAGTAATAAAAGCCGCTCTGCACCTCCAATCATATGTAATGTTAACACAGCCTGCAACAATTAATGTTGGTGACGATTTCTCCACCCTGTAATACAAACCTTTCTTTATATGATATGCATTTAACACATGTTGGACTTCCTCCTTTGTGTTGAAAGTCATGCCTTGAAATAGGACGTTAGGAGAGTACTCGACGTCAACATGGTCAAGTTCATGTCTATACTCTGGGTCGGTGAAATCTGTTTGTAAATCAACATTATGCATGTGTGCTGGGAAATTGAATGTGCTTACGTGCTGACATTGTTGTAGAAGACGATCTTGTTCGTCTTGTTCATCGTCTTGTTGGAGTCTTGCATCGTCTTCCCCCTCACTGAAAGGACCAACTTCTTCTTCAGGAACTCCAACTTTAGGGACTCCTTGTTCTTATTCTTCTTATGGGACTCCAAATGTAAGGAGGTTGGTAAAGGATCCATGTGTATGAAAATCGTCTTTATTGAGACGATCTCAACTGACGCACCCTTGAGCACCGTTGGATCATTTTAATCCTACGATCCACAAAGGGAAACCCTTCACGTCCCCATCATTAATACCCAACGGTTACAAACCCAACGATTGCAGCCCTTCACGTCCCCATCATTAATACCCAACAGTTACAAACCCAACGATTGCAACCCTTCACGTCCCCATAATTAATACCCAACGGTTACGAACCCAATGGTCGCAACTCTCCACATTCTGACCCAACCGCCACAACTGAAGTGCCACGTCTACCCTTTGCGTCGTTTCACTCCTAAAGGCTGAGGAGCTTGTGTATCGAAAGGGTCCTATCGACCACGTGGACCGACACGTGATGTCCTATCAGACACCGACATGGATCTCGGACACGGCTATAGCCGTAATAACAAACCTACAAAACCATCAATGACTCAGCTAAGGCAGTGTTATTGGTTGAAAACCTTACCAGCGTCTCGGCCCGGCGAATGGCCGGAACCAAGAGGAAATCCTAACCACAAACCCCTCAGCACGGTTAGCGACCGGTAAGACCAAACATCAAGACAACATAATGGGCTCTACTCCTCAGCAGCTCCTCAGCTCGGCAAAGGTCCGAGAACAAAGGGCAACCCAGCCCTTTATCTATTGGCTCGGCCAAAGGCCGAGAACGAAGGGTAGCCCCAACCCTTTACCTATCTGCTCGGCCAAAGGCCGATAGAGCCAGACAACAATTAAGACGATGATTATGATTAATAAGGGAAAATACATGATTAAGGCATAATCAGCCGATTAGCACCATATTACCTAATTTGGTAAGTGTCAGAAGAGGCCCACCACGTTCAGGGCCCATGACAAGTAGTATAAATAGGTCACGTAAAACGAGGTATGCACTGTTTATTTATTACTCTCAAGAATCGTGCTTGTCCTGACTTGAGCGTCGGAGTGCCTTTTACAGGTACCTCTCCCCTCTAAAGCATCCACCCAGAGCTGTCGTTTGGCCCTCCAGTTACCAGAAGATTAGGAGTATGCCCTCAGACAGGTACAAAGATAATTGTAAATGAAAAAAATTTAACATCAATGATAATTAGAGAAAGAAGTAAGAAATAAAAAATAATAATAATAACATCGTAAAATTATGTTAGAGAAGGTAAGGATAATCGAATGGAGAAGTGATAAAATCTAGTACACATTGTTTAAGGCAACAAAAGTTGTGCTTGCCTATGCAATTGAAGAGAACCTTGTTGTCGCTATGCTTGTGCCAAGTAAAACTTTCCACAACCTCCTCCCTAAAATCATCAATTAAGACTCCAACATCCACAATTCTCTCCATGACCTCTACACCTGCAAGATAGTTGTATTACATCATTCTCCTTCGTCATCACCTTATCATCCCCATTCCCTCAACCTCACAATTTCCATATATGTAACATCTAAATTTTCATAAATGGAATATAATAAATTTTCAGCAAAATAATGAGTATAACTCTTTTCATAAATAGGAACTTGTTAAGTATATAAACTTAATTTGCTTTTCTTGTTTTATGTTGTGTCAATTTGGAACCTTGTTAGAAAGGTATGAACTCGAAGGGGGAACCTTGAGGAGGTCTTGTTGTTGTTATCTTATTTAACGTGTTTGCTTAGAGTTTGCTAATCCAAGTAAGAGAGAGTGAGTTGTCTCACTCATGGATATAGTAATGGTTGTGAGTAGTGGAGTTTGCCTTAGATCCCATAGGCTGACTTGTATATGTCTTATGGAGGGTTTGTGAATACCCGTAAGTTTTGAATTATCATGTTGTTTGAAATTTGTATGTTTCTTTATGGTGCATGATACCATGAATCTTTGAATTATTTTGTGGCTTAAGAATTATATGTTTCTTTATGGTACATGTGTTGGGGGGTTTGGCGTGGGAAAATTTAAAGAAAAGACATTTCTTTAAAAAGATTCCATGAGTGAAACAAACCTTTTTATTTTTCCCCACAAATCACATACTACTAGGAATCACACTAATAATGTGTTTGGATAAAGAATTTCAATAGAGTAATTAATTTTTTTGAAGAATTTTATCTACCTTGGGGTGAAATGCTTTGTTTGGATGGAAAATTTTCAAATATTTTAAAATTTCAGATTCTCTAAAAATAGTGAGAATTTGAAATTCTTCATTTTACACACACACACACATTTTATCTTTCTATCTTTTTCTTCCACCTCTCATAGTCTCTCCTCTCTCTTTATCTATTTTCGTTTTTCCCTTTATCATCATATTATTTAATTTTATTTTTTTCTTTAACTTATATGTCTTTTCTTTTCTTATCTATCTTCATTCTCTTCTCTCTCCTATTTCTCTTTTCTCTCAATTTTTTCCTTTCTTTCCTGACTTCTCTCCTATCTCTTCTTTCTCTTTTTTCTCCTTCCTCTCTCTCCTCTCTTTCAAAGTCAACATAAAAATTGTTAATAGTTTTTTTAATTATTAAATATTCAATTTTTTAAAATTGTTAAATGTTTAATCTTAAAATTTAATCTTACATTTGTATAAATTTTAATCTTAAAAATTCAATATATATATATATATATATATATATATATTTAAATTCAATGTTACCTATAGTGGAAATCACATTGTCCTATCCAAATTAAGAATTTAAAATTTAAGAAATTTGAATTGATTTGTTCAAGCAAAACATTTAAAGAATGATGGAAATTGAAATCAAAGTAATTCAAATTCAAAGAATTTCAAATTCCTTGAATTTTTAAAATTCCTCATCCAAACATACCATAAGGGTTTAAAATTTTACCTTTCAAGTGTGCTTTAAGAATTTTCATTGGATAATCTCTTCTTGGATGAGGGGCCAACCCTTTGATCATTAAGTACTAAAAGCATGGTACCTTTACTCAGTCAACGCGAGAAATATAAGAGAGAGTTTTTGGTGCTAGTCAAGGGGTGGACATGATAAGATTTTGTGAGACGATACAAAACTATGAGATTCTCTCTATTTCTCTTAGATGGATGCATAGGCAAGATTAGGTTGGCCTATCTATTAATAATCACTGTAGGGTAATTTGTCCTTTCGTCCATATGCCTTTGATTCAACATGAGACATAAAAGTGTTATTCTCATTAAGTCCAATCATACATTTCTCAACATCCAACTAGACGTTCAACATGAATAGGCCCAATATTTCATATGATCCATTCTCGTGTGATTATGTATATTTCACGTCTCATTTTATTGAGAGACCCAAAGCATAACACTTGTTATGTAGGAGAGATGAATCCTTCTACATCTGTAACAACCTAAACACACCAAAATGAGAGGGATTTAAAGATTTGTATGAGTGAGCGATTGTGCAATTGATGATAACTTAAAGGAATTAATTTGTACTACTTATACCAATAAGACACATCTACTTTTTGATAGATCATCACTTAAGAACTCCACAATTAAACCTGTTTGACTTAGAGTGATTTAGGAATGGGTGACCTTCTTGGAAGTTTCCCAAAAATCATGGGGGTGAGGACAAAGCACACTAAAAAGTTTTAAGTTGGTTTGTGGGGATAGTCGTTGATCCTAAAGATGACCGAACATCTCAAAAAGGGCCACCTATATAGGGTTCTGACTGGTGAAAAGTTTTGACCAAGAGGAGTTGTGTGAAGTGACTCTATGTGAAGTGTCGTGGAGTGAAATTGTTAAGAGGTCAAATTTAAAGGGGTATTACAACATCACCTACATCTGTTAACATTATTCATTGCAAGCCCAATAAAATATGTTTATAATTACCTTGTTATGGATATCAATTGATAGCATCAAACCCTATATATGTAGGAATCGTAGTGACTTAAGTTTGAAAGACTACTTTACTATGGTTGTTATGAGAAGTGCTTATGTCACTTGCATAACTTATTATGATGTCTTCTCATAGTGAATCCATCTTGTATAAATATTCACTCCTAAAATTTATACAGATGTGCCTAACTTGATATATCATATCCATGAGTAGTGAGATGTGGTCATCATTCAACTCATACAATAGTCTCAATATATTATTGTTGTCAAATTAACAATAATACATAACTATGGATGATTCAAGAATAATGTTCTTTGTTCAGAGAATCTCACAATTAGTTACACCTAATTTTTCTTTGAACAAACAACTTATTCTAATGACATTATTATGCTTAATAAAATATAAACAATAATCTTCATAATAAATGAAATATCTATATCAAAGCCATGAAACAAATAAAAGATTGACCGATAAGGCTAACTCCATAATCTCCTACTAGCACTATGGTCAATTAGACATAAACATATATCCATTGACCTAGTGTAGGCATAATGCCTCTATTAAGCAAGATGCTTGATTAGTGGCTAGCCACATTTTTTAATGTTGGCACTTTGCGTATTTTAGCATCTCCTTTACCGATACTTCATCAAATTAGATGAAAGCATCTTAATATAATTATGTTTCTTAGATCACTGCTTAGTACTAATGTTGTTGAGTCACTATAAAAAATAACTAAATTCTACTTAGATTTGCAATATAGGGAACAACTTAGGTCATTTTTCAAAGAGATACAAATCAATTAAATTCAAAATTATCATGTAATGTTAATGAGGATATTTTTAATGGAATTACAAAATAAAGAATGAATTAAAAGAATTCAAATCGAAAAGACATCAATTCAATTTCAAGGTTTCGATCCTTAAAGTAAAATTGTCACGTTTCAAAATGAAATTTGAATTCAAGCATCTTTACATCAAAACAAATCTAAA